ACTCATACAAATGTAGAAAATGTGTCTGCATTCATAAAAATGGCATCTTAATACATGTATTTGTTTTGTGGTTTTTTTTACCTTCCATTATCGTGTAAGCATTTTCCAGTTTCATTAAACATTCTTTGAAGACATCACTTTCAATGGATGCATTTTAGTTCCATCATTTAATCATTCACTTCTTTGAGCCATTTAGGAGATTTCTAATTTTTCATTATTATTAAAAACAGTTGAACATGCTTATGAATACATTTGATTTCCTTAAGGTAATTCAATTCCTAGGAATTTATCCTATTGCAGGATATGAACTTTTAAAAAATTCTTGCTTGAATTTTATGGCTGAATTGCCTTTTCAGAAGCGTTGTACCAATTTATACTCCCACTAGTAGTGTATAAGAGTTCTCCTTTCATAATGTTTGCAAAAACACATGGGCACCTCACGTTGCCAACGTGGTGGGAGAGCAATTGTCTGCCTGACTCTGGCCTGCCCTACAGAGAAAAGGGGTTCTTGTTGCTGCTTTCCTCAGAAGAAAACCTTTCTGTGAGCAACAAAGAAGAATCAGTTCACAATCAACAAACTAAAAAGGAATCAAGTACCAGCCTTATCACACGCAATTGTTGAGCTTCCCCCAGAAGATCAGTAAATGCTCTAGTATCTTTAATAGCCTCATTCACAGAGAAAGCACGGGGGGCATTCGCCACTACACATATTGACATAAACTGGATTAGCAGCACTAATAAGTGTCCCTTGTGTGTTATCCTCACCGTTACCACCAGTCTAGCCCATGAAAACCTGCTTACGTTCAGAAAGATAAAATTCCAAGCACCAGAATAATCTAAAGTACAGCAAGGTTATGTGTTCCTCAAAATTAAAAACATATATTGTTTGACACAAACACTAATTGAATCCCAGTCCCATCCGATTCCTATCTGCGCTCTGATTCTAAAGGTGTGATGAAATGTGAGAAGCACTTAGGTGTGTGTGTGCGCTCAAAAGAGAGTAGCTGCCACATCAGATCGCTTTAAAAAGCCAGGTTCGACTTCAGAACACTACTCCTCAACAGAGTCCTAAGATTTTTAAACTGAAACGACAGTGTTAAATTGCACTGTGAAGGAGCACCTGTGGTCGCCTGCATGCTCATAATGAGAAGAGACTGGTGAAGAATCTCTCTGAGAGTCTGTGATTTAAAACATCTCGCCATTTCAGGTTGCTATGAACCTCTCCCTTTATGTTAACTGACATTATCCAAGAAGATGGGTTTATGTCAGTGAGGCATTGTGCATTTATGGTGGGAGGGGGGAAATGCTGCTTAATAATGCCCTATAATTAAAAGGGGGGACATCTGTAATACTTTCAACAAGAAAGATAAATTTTTTTAAAAAAAAATTTAGTTCCAAAAAAAAAAAGACATACCATCAAGAACTGGATAGTATGGCCACTCAGTAATTAGAGAACTAAATTGCATGCAATTCAGAGATAGAAGACATTTTTTTTACCCTTTTCCTAACAACAGTCCTTTCTAGTTCAAACATTCTACAGTTTTGTGGGTAATGTCAGAGATTTCTTAATGCAAGGAGATCTGAAAATGCCAGCGAGCAAACACCCCTTGAGGACATGTATCCCAGCTCTGCTGCTGCGAGTGAAGGGGACAGGAACTGGTTTGGTCTCCCCTGCTGTCAAACCCCAAGTCCACGGCGTGTCACAAACACACCGCTGTTCTCCACAAATGCCCTTTATTTTTCCTTTGGTAACTTTCCACAGTTCTGATTATACTAAAGTGATGTAACAATCATTCAAGAGTTTGTGCTTTTATGAACATATTCAGTGGAGGAGTCAGTGTGATAAGAACAGGGAGAGATGCGGACAGTGGAGGCACTCTTGGCTGCAGGATCAGGAGGAGGGGATGTGCTAGCTCGTGGAAAGGTATGCAATCACAAAATAGTGTGTATCCATTTCCTAGAGAAGCCGGAACAGATGACCACAAATTGGGTGGCTTAGAACCAGAAACACTGTCTGGAGTCCGGAAGCTGAAAGCCCAATAACACGGTGTTGGCAGCACTGGTTCCTGGGGAGGCTGTGAGGGAGCATCTGTTCCGGCTTCCTCCTAGCTCTCGGTGGCTGAGAGCAGGCCCTGGAGTTCCCAGCTTGTAGCTGCCTCACTCTTTTCTCTGCCTCCATCTCCACATGCCCTTCTTCCCTCCGTGTGTCCGTGTGTCCATGTGTCTGCATCTCTTAGAGACTTCTGACAGACACCAGTCATAATGAATTCAGGGCCCACCTTACTCCAGTGGGTCTTCATCTTAACTGGTTACATCTGCAAAGATCCTATTTCCAAATATGGACCTATTGTGAGGTTCTGGGTAGACATGAATTTGGAGGAACACTAATCAACTCAGTACACCATGGCATGCTCACATTTAAACTTCCTACACAAACCTGAAATCAATAATGGTACCTTCATTCCACAGTCTTGCTCACTCCTGTCTCCTATAACTGTGCCTGGCACATGCAGGGCCCTCCATCAGTGTCTGCTGAATGATGCACCGACGGCCCTTTAGATGCAGGACCAAAGTGTTTTCTTGGAGCTTGGATCTGCTCAATGACGGCCTCTCTCTCTCACACACACAAACCCCCACCTACTATCTCCAGACTCATTTCCTCTAACATGGACTGCGAGGGTAAAAGAAAGTAAAGATGCCTCCACAGCAATCCAAGTGCAGGACCCCTACTTTTTATAATTCTTCCGCACATCCTTTCAGCATGTTCACCCACATTTAATTCAATAGCTATTACTTTAATACACTCAACTTGCTTTGGTGATTTTGCAAAGGACCCACCTTAGATTTAGAGAAACCATGTTCCTCCTTCCATTTATAATCAGCTTACACATAAGTACAAACTGGAATAAACAAGTCTTGGAATAAGCACAGATGACACTAGATAAGCATGCAAATCAATCGGTGAGAGCAGAAGAGCCCGTGGCTGCAGCTACAAACACTCCAGGCGCCAGGGTCTCCACAGGTCTGATTTACAGGCAATGGGCAGCACCAGCCATTAAAGCCCAGTGCACGGTCCAAAATGCAGTAAGTGCCTGGTGGAGGAAGGGGATGGGGAGTGCAAGGGGACAGCGATCAGGGAATGCTTTGTAAAACAGTGATCTTTGAACTGGGTTTGGGGAAAAGGAGTAAAAGGTTTCCATATAGACAAGGATGATAAATATACCTCTAACTGGTGGAATGAGCAAGGCAGAGGCAGGGAGATGTGGACTGACCGTGTGCGTGCAGACCAGGCACTTTTCGGCACTGCTACCACCTGCAGTGCACAATGGGAGTAGGAGATGACAAGAGATGAGGCAGGTCCGCTCATCATGTGCTTGGTATTCTAGAACCTCATTGGTTGTACAGAGAACACAGACCAGAGAAGGGGCAGGGTGGAAGGAAAGATGGCCAGTTGGGGAAACTGCAGACACGTGGAGGCCCAGTGTGGTGGCTGCAGGCTTGCAGAGCTGTGGATGGAGCCTACTGACAGGCAGGCTGCTGACCTGACAGGACCTGGTGACACAGGGATGTGGATGGTAAGGGTCAGGGAGGTGGCTATCTGGGACCTCCCCAGGCACCTGTCTCTCAGCTCTGTGCTCCTGCAGAGCTGTTTCCTCAGCTGGAATACCCTTCCTCCTGCCTGGGTGTCTCCAGGCCTCGGCACTGTGCCTAGCATGCTGGGAATCCAAAAACAGTGCAGAAAGGAATGAATGAATATACACTTTGTACCTTAAAAAGGAAAAATGATGTAGCTGAGAAACAAGTAATAATCTACTTTGGGCTAAAGTCAACATTTTTTATTCAATATCCCAACCAAATGGCTAGAGGGGCTATTTTATTGAGGCTTCTGGAAATACTGAAAAAAAAGGACTGACAAATACTAGAGTTTTTAACTCACTAATTTACTGAAAACCTATTAAGAACCAGGAACTCTCCTAAGTATTGGAGGGGTAGAGATATGGTTCTGAATCTAGGGTGAAACCAAAAAACTGACGTTTGTTTATCAAACACTAGGGAGAGGTCTGTGCACCATTTAAAAATTACTTTTAATGCTATAACTTCCCAGCTATATTGTTATCGTTCTTGTTCCCATAATTTCCATATTTTGCTAGCAATACATATCATTAAAAAACAAAAAGAAGTTTGTGAACTTGTTTCAGAAAAATTGAAAAACTGCTCCATAATCTAGGGGGGAAGGAATGAGGCAAGAGAACAGCTCAAAAAGAAATCAGTAAAGCCCAGAGGCCTGAGGGTAAGAAGAACTGGTACATGCAAAGCCAGTCTGAGAACAGACCACAGCCCTGGAAACATTGATGCAACGTCTTTGTGTCTGTCCCAGAGCAACACCCTTCACCTTCCTAAGGACTGACAAATACTAGAGTCTTTAACTCACTAATTTACTGAAAACCTATTAAGAGCCAGGAACTCTTCTAAGTATTGGAGGGGTAGAGATATGGTTCTGAATCTAGGGTGAAACCAAAAAACTGACGTTTGTTTATCAAACACTAGGGAGAGGTCTGTGCACCATTTAAAAATTACTTTTAATGCTATAACTTCCCAGCTATATTGTTATCGTTCTTGTTCCCATAATTTCCATATTTTGCTAGCAATACATATCATTAAGAAACAAAAAGAAGTTTGTGAACTTGTTTTAGAAAAATTGAAAAACTGATCCATAATCTAGGGGGGAAGGAATGCGGCAAGAGAACAGCTCAAAAAGAAATCAGTAAAACCCAGAGGCCTGAGGGTAAGAAGAACTGGTGCATGCAAAGCCAGTCTGAGAACAGACCACAGCCCTGGAAACGTTGATGCAACGTCTTTGTGTCTGTCCATTAGCACCGTCTTGCCAACTGACTTACCCAGGCACCCATGATTCTGATGTGCACACTGATCTTTCCAGACCCCAAGAGGCTGGGTCAAAGCCAGCGGTCAGACTTCCCCCCACAAGTTAAGATACTCACCCAGAAAAATCCGTAGTGAGGATTCCATAGTGGAAGATGTATATTCTGCTGACGTGGCATATCGTCAGGTATCCCATCGCTACAAAAAAGGAGTATCTGAAACCAAAACCCCACAGGACCAGGTTAGTATACACTGCAATAATGCACTCAATCAATTTTTTCTTCTTCCTCTCCCTCACCCCCACCCGTTTGCAATGTCACAAAGTTCTGTTTGGTCTATCTACACCCCAGTCCTCCTCTTCCCCCACCCGCTGCTCTGAGCCCTTCATCTTTTCTCACCTGGTCCACTGCAGTTCTCAGCTTTGGCAGCATAATGAAATCACCTGGGGAATCATTACAAACCACAGATGTCTGGGCCCCACTCCCAGATATTCAGGTTTAATCAGTACAGCGTGCACGTAGCAGGTGTAATTCCAATATGCAGCCAGAGCTGGGAACCACTCACCTGTAAGGTCTTGCCCACAGATTCTCCCCTTCACAAACCATCACATTTACACGATGGTCTTTGTAAATAAATAAAATCACCATGTGCCCACCACTCTTTCCCTGAAACACTTTGTTCTCTTGGCTTCAAATCTCCTCGTTTTCTTCCCACTACTTTGGTTAATTCTTCCAAGGCTCTTGCTCAGCACATCTTCTTCCATCTACTCCTTCGTTACCATTCCTAATGCTCTGCCCAGAACCCTCCCTGAGACTTCAATTCCCATCTGCTCCATATCACTCCATATCACCAGCCTATAGAACAAACCAACAATACACACACATACACACACCTGCCACTTAAAACATTCATCCATCTGTAATTACAAAGATATGCGATAATCTGATTAACTGCTGTTTGCCCCTGCACACTGAAAGCTCCATGAAGGCAAGGATGATCATGTGTGTTTTGTTCCCTATAGTCACTTTCCGTGCACTAGTTGAACAACTAAATAAACGTTTCTTGTCTTAAAAGTCTCCAAAGGATCTCACTACCCCATCACATCAAAACTCCTGAACATGGCAGGCAAGGTGCTTCCCACACAAAGCTTTGCCTGGCCTCTCTGGACTCACCTCTGGCCACACCCCACATCCACCTTACATTCTAACTACACTGGACATCCTGCATTTTCAGGCCCGCTATCCTTCTGAGAGCTCCTTCCTCTGCCTACAATTCCTTTCTCCATCCTAGAGTCTCTCTTGGAGCTGCTTAATTACCAGATAAGGCTCAGCTACCTACTAACATCTATAATTATAATATTAAAACTTTAAGTATCTGTTTCCCCAACTCACTGTGACCTTGGACATCCCAACTCTTGACTTGACATAGGAGGGGTTAATTTACTGTTAGTTAAACATTGTAAGTGTTTCGGGAGCCCATCAGAAGCACACAATCAGAAGGGATAACTTTCAAATGCATCATAATACGTGGAAGATACCTATTCTGATATTAAATTATCTTGTAATACACAAATCCACATTAAAATAACTCATGAAAACTAGATCAACCTCAGGGGTAGTAAATGGGAGGGACAAGATAAATTCATTTGGTAGCAAGGGAGAACCAGACAACGCGTGTGAAGGAGTTCCATACACTCTAACGAACTATATAACTTCAACTTCTTTTTACCATTGTTTGCAATCAAAGACCTTACTACACAACAAAGATCTTCCCCTACCCTGCGTTCATCCTTAACCTTTCCAAACCAGTAGATGGTGAAAAAAGCAAATGATTAAGAAAAAACAACTCCCTCAAGAACTGAAGCAAAAGCTGAATGGAGTTTGGCCGTTTTGCCTCCCACACATGTTCCCTTGCTCCAACCAGTTCATGAGGGTAAGGAAGAAGCACAGAGCAGATTCAAGACAGATTATTCCAGGACCTTTTCAAATGCAGCCAGGCCTGCTGCTTCCTCTTTCTCCTCTACAAGAGTTAGACCCATACTTTTCCCTCTCCCTTCACCCCGAGAAAAAAGCAAGTTCAATTCAATTGTTATAATAAGACCCACCCACCAAGGATGGTGCCAAATGCTGTGTCCCAATACAACAGGGCAATGCATTCATGCTCTGGACAAACCTGAAAAAATCTAAGGAACCCAGAAGTGGCCGAGGGAGCGTGTATTCTGGAGACAGACCAATGTGGGTTCATAACCAGCGTTGGCAAAACTAACCCATGGTGTGAGATGGGGATGGTGGTTATTCCAGGAAGGAGGGCTGAGGTAGAGACTGGGGATGCATGAAGGTAATATTTCTCTTTCTGACCTGGGAGGTGATGAGAAGAGAACAATTCACAGAGAATCCTGAAATCCAAAACTAACCGGTGTGAGATGGGGATGGTGGTTATTCCAGGAAGGAGGGCTGAGGTAGAGACTGGGAATGCATGAAAGTAATATTTCTCTTTTTGACCTGGGAGGTGGGTACGTGAATGTATTCACTGTGTGAAAATTCAACAAACTATATACCTATCTACCTCTCCAAGCTTTTATTTCCTCATCTCGGGGACAAAAAAAAAATCGATATCCTATTGAGTTGTCCTAGAAAGAATATAGTTTCAATAATGATAAATATTAAATACTAGAGACCCAGTGCACGAATTCATGCATGGGTGGGGTCCCTTGGCCTGGCCCTGCCCTTGGCCTGGCCCGAGATCGGGGCCTTCTCGCCCAACAGAGGTTGGCTGTGGGAGCACACTGACCACCACGGGGAAGCTCCTGCATTGAGCATCTGCTCCCTGGTGGTCAGTGCATGTCATAGCTACTGGCCAGTAGTCCAGTTGTAATGGTCACTTAGGTTTTTATATATATAGATAATAATATACCAATTGATACACTGAACAAGAGTCCATATACTTAAAATGATGAAACATAATATATTTAAAAGAGCTTGGCCTGGCACTTGGCACAAAGCAGATACTCCAAAATTGGTAACTGCATCACTGAATTTGCACCGAAGCCTCTGTCCTAGGAGATACTAACTATATTCTGCTCCAGCTGGTTCACATGTGGTAAATTAACTCCTGTGGCTTCTGCCCAACATAGCGACTTGTAAAGGAAACAGCTGGTACCCCCAAAGACTCTCTGTAAACCCTGAATGACAATGGTCAGTCCAGAAATGCGTTAGTTCCCATGACAACAAATGCTAACCTTCCCTCCCCTTCCAGCCATATGACAGGACCCTTAACACCGGCTCAGTGACGAGAAGAGAACAATTCACAGAGAATCCTGAAATCCTGGTCCTGAGGAGAACTTAAGTTCAAACCACCACAAACGCCACCTCTGATGGAGGGGAGATCTGAGGCACAGAGCAGCTGCGTCACTTGTCTGACCTCACACAGCGAGAAAGAGCCAGGTTTCCTGACTCGGGTCTACTCTGCTTTCCTGCTTCGATAGGAAACAACTTCATCCACTGGGACTGAACCACTCCCTGCTTCTGCAGCACTGGCGACCGCACAAGCAAAGAAAGGGGAAAATTTGTTCTGGCATCCTTTCTTTTTGGTCTTGTGACACGGCCCTCTGCTACCACAATATGATTGCCTCTGTAAACTGTTCAGCTTGGCCAAGGCCGGAGTGTTCCATCCCTGGCCAGAGGCTAACACAGAGATCAGGGGCCTGGCCCAGGTTAAGTGTGCATGCAAGTGCTCCGCCCTCTGAAAAACAGACCATACCCAGCCACATCCTATGAGCGCAGGCGGAGCTGACAAATTACAATTTGTGAGGAAATGCCCAGAGAGATGCAACAGCAATTTCATTAATCATTCCACTGTTTCAAAAATCAAGTTTAGTAAAAATCAGCCATTTTCACCCCTACTTTAAAAAAAAAAAGCATTTTGTCATAATATAAAGCATTTCCATTCAAAAACCAAGTTTAGTAAAAATCAGCCATTTTCACCACTACTTTTTTTTTTAAAAAAAAAGCATTTTGTCATAATATAAAGCATTTCCAAAATCCATTCTTTTCAAATTAGAAATACGGGTTTCATGTTTCCCTTCTGAATGAGTGACATGCTTCCCTTCAAGGGGATGAGATGATTAGAACAGAGATGATTAGGATTCAAATTTTCAGAGCTCATTTGGATACTAAGTTGAATGACTATCAAATTTAAAAATATTTTCCCTTGAAACCAGAAATTTATTTGAAGTAATTATAAGATTACACACTGAGAAGTTAAATTTCAATGACTTTAAGAAGAAAAACTATTGTGCCAATAGTCTTATTAATCAAAGAGCTTTCCAAAGCCAAAATGAGACATCTGCTTTTTCAGAGACACCATCAGAGACGAATTCTTACTCAGTCATTCAGTCCATAAATATTTATTGAGGCTTTATTTGTGCCAGGTATTGTTCTGGGCTCTGAGGAGACAACAGTGAGTAAGAGAGAAAGGTCTTTGTTTTCTCAGAGTTACTGACCGGCAGTCAGTAACTGAGGTTTCAGAAAGACCATGGGAAACAGAGACAATGGGGAACAGATATCCCAGCTGTCTTAATTGATGGTCTAAGTATGTAGCCTTCAAAGTAGAATGAAATTACTTCAAAGTATCATAGCAAAAATATTTCTTCCTTAACAGTTTCCGTGTACATCCTTAAAGTATACCAAGTTCTAACATGCATACACACCCAGAAAACCATGACCAAATCCAAGATAACGGACGTATATATCCATCACATCCCAAGTTTCTTCCTGCCTCTTCAGGATCCCTGTCACATTCCCCTGCACCACCCCTCCCCTGGGAGCCTCTGATCTGATTAGTTTGCCTTTTCGAGAATAGAATTTGTGTGGCTTCCTTCACTCGACATATTTATTTGAGACTCATCCATGTCATTGTGTAGATCAATCATTCAATCCTTTTTATTGCTGAGCAGTATTCCATGGCGGGGAGCATTTAGATTATTTCCAGTTTGGGGCTATCACAAATAGATCTGCCTAATGCTGATATACTGTCTTTCACCTGAGACACAATTTGCACCCGCCCCCCTCTTTTTGTAAAGTTTTTTCTGAAGACTCCCAACATTTAGGGCTTCCCACCCCTCCTTCTGATGTCTCAGAAAACCAAGGCTATGCCATGTGTGACACATGGGGAAGGTACCCCTTCCCATGGAAATAAATACATTTCAAAGATCATGAATAACCCCACCTTGCACTGTTTATTCCCAGAGTCTTACCTGTGAATATTGGATACACTTGCAGTGACCAAGATTCCATAGCACATTAACACCAGCACAAACAGATGTGCAGAGTACCTTTAAGACATTGGGGGGTAGAGGGGGCAAAAACACTGAATATATTTCATATTAACATATCTATTGCTACCAATACTGCTACTCCACCTCCACCCCATCAAAAAGCAACTGATCAGTTAACTCATGTTTATGTAAGAAAAATAAATCAAGTATTTTTTGTTCTGTGGAATTAAGAAGTTTATCTTGAAATGATATTAGGAAGTCTTGACAGAACCTGCCAATTGTAGCACTAGTGATGTTAGGAATCATGAATGGGATGCTTGTACTTTATTTTTATTTTTTAGAGAGAGGAAGGGAGAAGGAGAGAGAGAAACACTGATGTGAGAGTAAAACATCAATCAGCTACCTCCTATTGGGGATCGAGCCCACAACCTGGGTATGTGCCCTGACTGGGGAATCGAACAAGCAACCCTGAGTGCACGGGGTGACGCCCAACCAACTGAGCCACACCAGCCAGGGCTTAAACTTTTTTCACATACACAAGTGCAAGTCTGAAAGAGAGTTCTTTCTTTCTTCAGACTTTTTTCCCCCCAAAATTTAAAGTACCAGGACCAAAACTGAGCTGGCTTTTATCTGTCTTGGTTGATTCAAAATACTCATCCATCTTTCTCAATTTTTTGTTGAAAGAGGAAGAGCAACATTCTAGAGCCCTGAACAAATTCACAAATTTCCTTCAGTTGTACTTCTAGAAATGTTGGTTCCTAAAGCTTCTTCCCCAAGAAGTGCCACTCCCAAGTATTTATCCAGAAAGTCTGATCTACATGCTTTCTTTAAGAATGACTGCCATCCCTGGAAGGTGTGGCTCAGTTGGTTGAGCAAAGAGGTTGCCAGTTCAATTCCAGGTCAGGGCACATGCCCGGGTTTTGGGATTGATCCTCAGGAGGGGGTGTGCAGGAGGCAGCTGATCATGCATGTTTCTCTCTCACATCAATGTCTCTCTCTCTCTCTCTCTCTCTCTCTCTTCCTCTCTCTCTAAAAATCAATAAAAGCATATTTTAAAAAAGAATGACTCCCATTCCCTAAGACAAGCACTAAAACAATTGTTTTACTCTATGTACAGGACTAATGCCAATATCTCCAGCAGTAATCAAGAAAAACACCAATGTCCACAACATTTAGGAATGATTCCTCGTCAGGAAAATTAAACCTTATAAAAACCCATTTACATGACACAGGGGAGATCAGTAAAAGTGTAACTTTAAGAAAAATTCACCAAATGGACTTTCAATGGGTAGTCAAATTTATTGATTCCAGGTTCTTATAGGAAATGTACATTTCTGCAACATCCCCATTATTTTAAGTAAACACACACACACACACACACATTTATTTATATTCAAGAGGCCCAGTGCATGACATTCATGCACAGGGGGTGGGGAGTGTCCCCTCAGCTGGGCCTGCGCCCTCTAGCAGTCCGGGACCCCTCACTCCTTACTGCCAGCCTGCTGCGGAGGCAGGAGAGGCTCCTGCCACTGCCACTGCACTTGCCAGCCATGAGCCCAGTTTCTGGCTGAGCAGCGCTCCCCCTGTGGGAGTGCACTGACCACCAGGGGGCAGCTCCTGCATTGAGAGTCTGCCCCTGGTGGTCAGTGCGCATCATAGCCACCGGTCCTTCCACCGTTTGGTTGATTTGCATATTAACCTTTTATTATATAGGATATTTCCTTAGAGTCTGGGAAATGCCAAGAATATTGCCACAAAACACCCAAATGATAAATATTAGAATTCACGAGGCTCATACTCACCAGCCAAAACAAAAGATGACAAAGTAGATGCCAAAAATGGTGGCAAATGTGTGCCGAGCCAAGGGACTGGTTTTACCGGGACTTAAGTAAATGCGAAACCAGAAAGCAGCAAACAAAGCAACGAGCTGGCATGCCACAAAATTCACCTGTAAGGAAAAAAAAAAGAATCAAAACCTTTACTGCTCTGCCTGTGTGAGAATGTTCTCGACATTTTTCAGATTTCCATGTTGGATGCACCTCAGACTTGTACTTCTTCCACAGTAGGGTGTTCATTTGGAGGAGGAGCCACAGACTGAAGAGAACTGAGCCCTCCTCAGTGGTATAAGAAGCAAGCTACCCAATAAAGGCAGATGAACCTAACAAAGGCAGACCTCGTTTTATTGAACTTTATTTTACTGTGCTTCACAGGTGTTGTATGTTTTACAAACTGAAGGCAAGACCCTCCACCATAATCCAGCAAAATGATTATGACTCGCTTTATTGCCCTACTTGCTTGATTATGGTAGTCTGGAATCAACCTGAAATACCTCCGAGGCATACCTGTAGCTTCTTTTCCAGTTCTTTAAAACTAGCCAAGGCTGCTTTCCCACCCATAACAGGAGACTTGTTCATGGTCTGCAAAGACTGCAGCTGATTGTGAGGTCAGTTTGCTGGGTCTCTTCCCACCACCCACAACACTATCCTATCTAATAATAGACAAATATGGTAATTAACCGTACCTCCGACACACTTCCCATTGGCTAATCAGAAGGATATGCAAATTAACTGCCAACCAAGATGGCGGCCGGCAGCCAGGCAGCTGAAGCGAACAGGAGGCTTGCTTGCTCCAGTGATGGAGGAAGCCAAGGTTCCCCGCCTGCCGTGGCCCAGCTCTGAGCTTCACTCTAAGCAACAATGTTGGAATTATAGAAGCTAAACAAACCCAGAAACCTGCTTTCAGCCAGCTGGCCTCGGAGCTGGAGCTGCAACAAAGTTTCAATTACAGAAGGTAAATAAATCCCAGAATAAAAAAAGAAAAAGAAAAAAAGG